TCAACTTCTAAATTAAACCATTTAAACCATAGCTGCCTGGGTAGCAGATCTTTACTATGTAGTTTTGAGTACCCAGAAACAGAGCACGTTGCCTGGAGCGCTACAGCCACAAACCAGCAAGATAAGTGATCTGTCTCATCAGTTAACAAAAATCCCTAAACCCTCCATGTACCCCCATATTAATACAGCTGAATTCTTCTATAACTATATATATATCTGCTTATACAATATATACATGTGCATGCACGGATAAACCACCGGATAGATATACATTTATACATCTACAACTCCTTCTTTCTCCATACAACTCCCTACATAAATTCTATGTAGTGTACAAACTACAGCAGACAAATCCAGAGAGAGGCACAGAAAAACTTAGATACAGTAGCATCAGACCTATCTGAAGCAAATGTCAATGACAACCACCTAAGCATTCTATTTTGTACAAAGCATTACCCTAATATCCTTTTCAAGGCTTGTACAGGATACTGTTACATCGGCCATGGTCATGTTGTACACGGGATACTCAGCTCTTGGGACACATCTCTGGGCCTGTATACAGTACAGGACTACCTGTGGTCCAACAATCCTACAGCCAAGCTGCAATAAAATAACAGGGGAGAAAAGAATCAGCAGAAGGTACAATGGTTCCAGAAAGGTTTTCATTATCTCTGAATCCTGAGGAAGGCAGGACCCCTGGTCTGTACTCCTCTAGCATCTCCAGGTAGTTGACAGTTTTGGTTTTACTTTCAGCTGTGAATTTTCAGTACAATCCTTGTAGGTTTTCTGACCTCAGTAAAAAGCAGCAGATGGTACAAGCTAACATGCCAGCTATTCCTTGTCTGTCAAACAAAATCGTATTACTCAGGAGGCAAAAAGGTGCCAGAGCCAGCTCAGAACTCCATCAGAATCAGAACCTATCACGCTATTTATTTTTGCACCTGCTTCAAAATATTCCTTATGCTTTGCTAGTCATCCTCCTTAAACAGGACACAGCGAAGCTTCAAAGACTTTATTGTGAATGCTTCATACTGCTGTATTCAGTGCAAAAAGAGAGAACATACAAAATATGGGCGCCTATGCTTCTAGAAGAGAATATAGGTAGAAGTAAGTGATGGGTATCATACCTGTTTGAGATGATTGAAAACGGCACCTGTAAAAGGATCACAAATGTAAAGCGATTTATCATTTTCTCTTATATTGAGCGCTGTCCCTTCGTCAAGGATCTGGAGATGTTCTTCTGACTGAAATTCTTTCATAGACTGCAGATAAACAGCACATACAACACCACTTACTTGATTATCAAATCACAAACAGCCAATCCTGTGGAAGCTACTTAAGTACATCTGCCTGAAACACCTCACAGCAAAGCTAGGATTACACTGGCAAAAGGAAGGGCTAAAGCATCCCACGGGTATCACCCTTATTCCCCAGACTCTTTACCGCAGACTTTCAGGACCTGATCCTGCCACACAGTGCCCTTAGCTCCCACTGTCCTCTCAAGCTGGAATACAACCCACAGAGTCCTTCTTAAGTCTGCTTAGTTTAGATGAGTGATACCCATCCAGACCCTCTAAACTACATGCCACTTCACTAAATGACAACAGGTTTTGAAATTACACTTATTTCTTGTTCAGGAAGCAACTTCTTCAATAAAAGCGTCCATCAAACTTCATTAAACACCGGAAATAGCTTTATTTATGTACACATGTAAGTTACATCTAAGCCAACCACAGAGATCATTTAATACCTCACCAAGCTCACTCAGAAAAGCGATCAAACCTACTTACCTCAAGAGCTTTATAGAAATACTCCGAGCTCCCAGCAGACTTTATGAACTTCACAAAAACCAGCTCCTTACTACGTTTCATTCTTTAACTGAGAAGCAAAGCCCAGTAAGCTTCCTGGCATTCCGGCCTAGCCCGAAATCCCCCCAGGAGCCGCGGAACACCCTCTTGCCCCTGATCCCCACCGGCCCGCCCCAAGCCGCCGGAGAGGAGCAGGGGAGCACACCGGGAGGCCCCTTTCCCACAGGGCCCCCTCCTCACGCCGGGGTCCCGCGCATCCACCGTGCCCTGCTCCGCACCGGGTGCTGGGTGCCGCCGGTTCAAGCGCACACACCCCCAGCCCCCGGTCCCCCGGTTCCAGACACGAACCCCGCCTCCCAGTAAGCGGGAAACCAGCGGTCAGTGCAATGCGCAGGCGTGGAAAGGGGGCTGGCGCCAGTGGGCGAGGAGGTGGGCGGCGCCACGTCGTGCGTCACCCTGCGTGCGCTCCGGCGGGAGGCGGGGTGGGGGCGTGGCTTCGCTCCCTCCTTTCCCCCTCCTTTCCTTCTCCTTTCCGGTATCCCCAGTCCGAAACCAGTCCGAAAATCCCTCTGTGTCAACCGGGGAGGCTGACATGGACTAGGCTTGGGGTGTCGGTGCTGTGCTAGGGACCGTGTCACAGCTGCCAGCGTCTGAGAGAGGTGGGAAGCGTGAGCATCCCGTTGCCATCCGAGTTTCAATCTCTTCCGTCTTTCCAAAGGAAATAATGGCAGGGAATGTAGTTTTATTCTTGTCACTTCCAAGCGATGGACGAGAATGCCAAGTGCTCTCCTTCCAGAGCAGATGGCTGGAAACCGGACAACTTGAGGGCGTGCAAAACGTCCCAGTTGGACCACAGTTAAAGGGTGACGATGCCCACCCATCAGTGGTCCTCCTTTCGTAGTGGCCAGGAGTGTTTCCTAAGCCCCATCCGTGGCAGTGTTGGACGGGGTTTGGAGCATCTGGTCTACTGGAAGGTCTCCCTGGCTGGTTGGTTCCAACTCAACCCATTCGGTAGCGTGTGTGGCCACAGGATGGCACCGTAATCCTAAGAACTGAAGGGAAGCGTGTGCTCAAGTCTGCTGTGGCTGAGGTGTTGCTCCTAGGGCAGATCCTAAACACACTTAACAGTTCTTTTACATGCTTATTTATTTTACAAACACTTAATCTTTTAGGATCAGCGTGAATTGTGTGGGATGGTGCTTTTACCATCTGTAAAAATAAAGAAAACCAAATGTAACCATGACCAAACTAGCATATTTAGTATTAGATTATTAGTGGCAAGCAGTTAAGAGCACTGGAGTCACCTTGATGGTCCTGTGTTATCTGATCATGCTGGGTCTTAGTCCGCTTGTAAACCCCTGACTTCATCCTGCCTACTCTTTCAACAACCTGTTATGAAAGAAGAATTTATCTTCATTAGATAGGGAATTTATGTTCCATTAACAGGGGGGAGATCAAGAAGTCTATCACACAGAAGTTAACCAACTTTAATGGCTTGTATAATACAAAACATTATTACAATCTATTGGCAAAGTCTATAAGTGAATGTACCAGCAGAGCTACCAGACACTGTGGTCTCTATTATCCTTGAATGTGGAGCACAGCTCACTACAGTAGCTGAAATCTGGTTTATTCTCATTTGCTAAAGTGTGGTCCCTTCTCAGTGAATGGATAGCAAGTCTTGCTAAGATGCTGAGGCACTGGGCCACCAATCTCTTCAGCTCCACATCTTCTCTCTGGAAGCTGCTTGTCACTTGGAAGCATCCAAATGATGCTGAAATTACCCAATTTCTGCTTATACTGATGTGTGTTTTAAAGGCATATGCAAAGTCCAGAAAGTAACAGATGTCCAAGGTCTTACACGCAGCTGAAGATCTTGTATATTAAAAGTTGCAGCGTATTTCTGTTCCAGTTCCCATGGGGATGTAGTCCAAAAGTGGTGCTCAATATGACAAAACTGAGTAACTTAAACCAAGTGGTTTGCTAAGCAAAGATTTCCCTATTTTACTTCCTGCTTTCACAAGCACATGGCAATGTAAAACCTCTTTGGGGCTGTTTAAAACAGTTCATTCTTTGAAAAATAATATTTATGAGGCTATGTAGAGGAGCAGAGAAACAGAAATTGCCCTGATGGAAATCAAAATCCTCAATGTTAATTTCCTGTCTACACAGTTGCCCAAATGCACATGTTTTAGGGGAAATATAGGAAATGCTAGGATGGACAATTAAATTAATACTGTGATCTTAAGCACACGAGTATTCCCCTTTTATTTCATCTTTTCTACTTTTCTACTTTTCAAGTGCTTTGTAGCATCTGAGCTTTAAGGGGAGCCCCAATTGTATTTGTCCATCAGTCTTAGTAATTATGGAAGCTTTTTCTCTCTGTAAAACTCCTAAAGAGCAGAAAAAGCCTGCTTCTAAAACAGAAAAGAGATGCTGTAGAGTCTGTAGAACAGCGAATATTTTAACTCACTCATATGTTTCGATAGCTTAAATGTCTGTAGCGTATGTTTATCACTGCAAACATCTGGGTCAGCCCTGTTCAGGCATCATTTTCACACCTCTGATGCTGTTGTGGTTTTGCAGCCATTGTGGCTGTGTTCTTTCGAGATTTTAAAGTTGTTCTCTTATGTAGGCTAGAAAAATGGTAAGCAAAATCACTGCATTAAAAAGCTAAAGCCGTGTTGACTCAGCCATATTTGATGTAGCCTGGTTAAAACTCCATGTGCAACGCTTTGTTTTTAAGGTATCGTAAAAACATGGGGTTTTCTGACCAATGATAGGTCATTGGATTAGCTTTTTAGTACAAACAGCATATAAAGCAGCAGTTGATTAAGAGAGAGCCTGCTGAAATATCAGATACCAACAAATAGTAATCTAAGCTATTATGAGAAAGAAAGATCCAAGAGATCGGTGCTCAACCATACACAAAGGAAAATATGCCTTGAAATATCAGAGTCTATTGTAAATGTATAAGACTTTCCCATACCACTTGTAAGGATTCTATATCATAGACCTCAGTAATTCAGCATTATTTACAGAGATACACACGAGGCTTAGTAAAAGCTGTGACTGAGACTGGTTTAAGTGAGTGAGATACCTTGTATAAGGTACAGTCAAGAGATCTGTCTGAAGAACCAGTGTGAATTCCTAACCTCTAGTGCACTTCAAACAACCAGTTCATGAGCCTGCTAGCTTAGACCCCCAGCCTTTGTGTGATTTTGGGCTCTGTGATGCAAGACAATGCTTTTACAGTCACACAAATAAAGAGAACACTGTTTTTCCCCTACACGAGAGCATATCTAGGTAGCTAATTTGATGCATCCTTTTCATTAACCATAGAATCAAAGTAGGGTTTGCGTTGGAAGGGATCTTAAAGCTCATCCAGTTCCAACCCCCTGCCATGAGCAGGGACACCTTCCACTAGAGCAGGTTGCTCCAAGCCCCTGTGTCCAACCTGGCCTTGGACGCTGTCAGGGATGGGGCAGCCACAGCTTCTCTGGGCACCCTGTGCCAGCGCCTCAGCACCCTCACAGGGAAGAGCTTCTGCCTTAGATCTAACCTGAACTTCCCCTGTTTCAGTGTAAAGCCATTTATGTACAAATACCCAAATACATGAACAAAACCAAGCTTTAGTAAACATGCATCCTGTGGTCTTTTGCAGCTGCCTTGGAGCCAACATCCAGGACCGATTCTGCAGGTTTCCATCATAGACTTAATTCCACACTAGTCAATTCCACCTTTTTGCTGGGCACAGCTTACAAGGCAGCAGAAACTTCTTGTTCCCCAGTAGACTGCGTGTAGGTGGAGCTGGCCCGTTCAGCTGTGTCAACATAGAAAACGGGACAGAATTTAGGGAAGTGGAATGCAAGCTGCTTTCGGAAAAAGCTATGAAGGTACTTCCTAAATTTTTCTCCAGCGAAGGCATAAATGAGAGGGTTGATGCAGCAATGGATCATGGAGAGCGTTTCCGTCACTTGGATCGCTTTGTGCAGTTGGCCGCTGCCTTGACAAGTGTTGATGAAAAAGGCACCTTGGAAATCACGCAAGAAAATGCAGATGTTGTACGGTGCCCAGAAAACAAAGTAGACAATCATGATGATGAAGATCAGCCTGACCGCTTTATGTTTCTTCTCATTCCTACATTGCAGTAATGTCCTTATAATTTGCGCGTAGCCACAGATCATAATGAACATTGGGATAACCAGTCCCAGGATGTTCATCTTTAAGGTCAGGAATTGCTTCCATACATCTCTCTGTTCTGACGGATAGTGAGCACTGCAAGTGTAACGTGCATTTTCCTTCTGAGTTGTGTGGAATACCATGCCAGGAACAGAAGCAAACGCTGCAACAGCCCAAGTGACCATGCTGGTGAGGATGCCGTAGGTAACTGTCCTGGCTTTCAGAGCAAACACTGCATGCACTATGGCCAGGTACCTGTCTAGGGTCAGCAGGATGATGAAGAAGATCCCACTGTAGAAGCCAAGGAGGTAGACACCGGAGAGAATTCTGCACAGTGCCTCCCCAAAAATCCAGTCGTGGACAGCATAATAAGCCCAGAAAGGGAGAGAAAATACAAAGAGCAAATCGGAAATTGCCAGATTGAGCAGGTAGATGTCAGTCATGCTCCTCAGTCTCTTGTATTTTACCAGGATAAGCACAACAAGCATGTTGCCTATGAGGCCAAATATCACCACCAAAGAATAGAGCGGTGGCAAAAGCTTCGCTGCTAAGTGCTTTTCCTCAATCCCTGTGCACGGTGTTGAATCACCATAGTCATATCCTGTTGTCAGTTCCCAGTTGTCTGAGTCTGTGGTGTGGTCTTCCATGGTGCATTGGTCTGGAAAAGAAGAGAATGATGTTAAAGTAGAGAAACTCCAAGCTTGTCAATGATGGTAATGAAACACGCTGGTGTCCTCCTCTGGAATGCTTTTTGCTGTTGAGCACATGAGCATTTGTACCTCAGGGTGTGGATGAGAATGAGATTGCAGAGCTCCCAGGACACCCATCTCTGTACCTGTGAAGCCACACTGCTGCATGTTGGAAGTGTGCTGAGGATGATTTCCTATGTGTACACCCTCTGGTGTGGTTTTCGTTCCCATCAGCTGCCTGACCCAACCAGAAGCAGAGGAGTGATGAATTTAATCTGAGCAGTGGGTAGTTTGGGGCTCTTGTGCTCAGCAGTAGCTCAAAACCACCACTTCATTCTCTCTGCAGGAAGACACTCAGCTTGTGGCTGGAGTGACCCAGGGGCAGACCCTTGGTCTGCTTTTGTGGGATGCTCATAGTGATCCCCTCTGATTTGCAGCCTGTGAAATCCCTGAAGCACCTCTTTGTGTCTCTCTAGACAAAACTGTTAAGTTCAAAGGACTTTTTCATCCTGTAAGCACTGATTGCTCAAAATGGCAATGTCCTCACTTTATTTTGTGTTAAAGAGGTTAATTTAGCTAAACCTAAGCTGAGGTCCTTGGGAAGGGACTGGTTGCACGGTCTTTGACCAGTTTCCTGTCCCAGGATCCGAGTCCATCCTGAGCTGCCAGGTGCTGATGGAGATTCTCATGCTGTAGAACACAGACATGAACCTGCCCCAAAAGGAGCAAGAACCATTGGAGCCCAGTCTGCACCTTGGGGACAAAAAGAGGTGCTGCTTCTGCAGACCTTTTTCCCACCCCTTCCCCACCTTCTTCCCCAGTCTGGCTGCCATCTACTCCGAACAGCATCAACACTGAGTACATCCATGTTCATCCATTCCTTTGGCGTGTGGAGCATGGCATGAAGTTTTCAGAGCAAGGAAGAAGAGAAGCCTTCCCCCCCCCCCCCCAGCCATACTAACTACATAGTTATTTGCATACTGAGATGGTGGGTTTGTTGGTAAAGGAAGTGGCTGTGGCTCACGTGTATTGACAGTAAATAAGTTTTTTAAGTATCTAAGGGTTTAGATTTAAGTATTTTCGGCAACTTTTCTAGGAAAAAAAAACCCCACCTTTATAAAACACTCTTTGGTCCAAAAAATTAACTTATTTCTTTCAAAACATGACCAGACTTGGACACTGTGAAATGGTTAATATTCCATTCAGCTACATCTGTGTTGCGTGCCCTGACAGTACAAGTCCCTGGTAATGCACCTAGCCAAATATCTTCATTTCTGATGTGTCACTCAGCCATTCTATGTACTGGGATTATGGAATGTGGCACTGGTTGCAACAGAGTGCCAGACTCAGCGTGTCCTGTCTTGATCATTTGGCACCTGCGTGATGCTCATGTATAAACATGGGTATGGAAAACACCTAGATCATAAACCCAGAATGGGATTTTATGAGTTTATGGTCAATAGGATTCATGCAAATATTACTGCAAAATGCTGCCTCCACATTATTGTGGTAACTCTTTTTGTGCCAGCCCCTTCTTCCTGCTAACTGCTATCTCAATGCCTTCCCTCCTTTTCCTCTGCTTTCTTGGAATGACAACCACATCTTCCCTGCATTTCATCTCCTTCCTCTCAACCCTTTTTGCATGCTTAAATTGTGGTCTCCCCTCTGAGTGCTTCTTTTCACTGAGCCCCATCCCTCTAGCCCAGCCTTTGCTTCAGCAATCCCTCTGCAAAAAGCACTTACTACAATGAATTGTGTAGTATGCAGCACATGCTGACAAGGGAAACTTGAGGTACTAAATGTGGAAACCAGAAGAAGGAATTGTTTTGTGCTTTATCCAGAAATCTCACCCATTTAGGACGCAGTGCTGGCCACTGGCTAGAATGCTTCAGTGGGTTATAATCAACCTGGCTTGTTCACCTAGTGTTCTAATGGTCAGATAAACCCAAAGATAATACTGGAAGATCCCTGAAGAAAGGATGTTTCAGTAAGAGGTCTATCTTATGTTGAATACAGCTTAGATAAATGCAGGATTTCTAGATACCTGCAATGTGCTGTACAAATTCGGTTGCTCTGGTTAAGACCAGCAGTCTGTCATGCAGTTCTGGAGAGAAAAACTCCATAGAAAGGCTGAGTAACTCATGTCACTGTTTCAGTCTGAGTTTCAGGGCAGAGCCCTCTGTTTCTAACAAAGCAAGACTTTATTGAGGTGATTTTCAGTTCATTTGCACAGTGCTATATAATGGTAACAGTTCAAAAGCTGTAGTAAACAGAGGAAAAGTGCCAACTACGCTGCACATGAACAAGTTCCATGACTTGCTTGAAACACAACATCAGATTATCTATACTCATCCTGTGAGAAGAGTTAGTACTCTTCACTGAAACAAGCTGGTTTGTCCTTGCAGTAGCAGTTTTAAAATACAGATTTCCATCATTGTGTATCATCTTATGTATTTCTTACATATTCTCCCTGCCCGTGAGAGGGGGTTGGAACTGGATCATCCCAAGGTCCTTTCCATCCCAAACCATTCTGTGATTCTATGATCTTCAGAGAAAAAAAACCACAAGCATTCTCCATCATATTTCTTAGCTCAGTCTCTAGAGGTTTACTTCTTTGCTTACCTGGGTCCTCTGCTCAGGTCTTGTAGTGGTTCTGTCCCTTAGAAATAGTGTATTCCATTTACAATATCCCATGCATTTCCCAGTGTAACTGTTAAAGAGGAGTGCCCTGCCAAGATTCCACCAGTATTTTTCACCTCAGGCATTAGACTAGCTAAGCAACTCCTATATGTTAAAACCAAGCAAAGATGACTTACCATGTATCTTATGGTGCGAGTGATGGCTGGGGTTATTACATCAAGGATAACGCTAAACCGACTTGTCAGTCACGAGAGGAAGCTCACGAACACCTCTTCCTGCATGAAAAAGGATGTATCCGTTTGAAAACTTCTAGCAAACAAGTCTGTTCGCATTGAAAAAGAAATAAATCGAGGAGCAGTTCTCTTTTTTCTAAAAATGGGCCATCAGATGTTGCTTTTCTACTGCTGTGAGATGCACAGAGATGTTGAAATGTGGATCCTCCTAGGAGCTGAACTCACAGTTTCACAACCCGCAGCTGGAGCTTTAGAAAGGGTTGTTGTGGTCTCTTTTTGATGGAGGTATCCTCCTTGAGGCAGGGCCAGTTTGCAGGAGGTTCATCCCTTTACATTTCTGAATCAATACTGCACGGGGTTTGCCCATGGACAAAAAGTGAAGCTTTTGTATAAAGCTTCTGCTTCTATTCAGAATTACCTGCACTTTGTGTTGGCTTGCTCTGAGTTTCAGTCTTTGTCTTTTAGGAGATGTGATTGATTCTATTCTCCTCCAACCTAGTCTTTTGGACTGTGTTTTTTGTTTTAATCCCTCTCATAAGGCCATGACTTAGCCTCTATAGTGAGTCTCACCTTCTTTTGAAACAACACTGTTGCTTGCTTTTCAGAACCAAGCTTCAGGAAAGCCTGATAGAATCTGATTTCCGATCAGTTCACTTCCTTGTGTCTGATCCTGTCCCTTTTTTGAGTCAAACTGAAGCTGCACCATGAGCAGCTTTTTAGATCCTTCTTAGACATCAAAGAAACCACACAGGAGGTTGGAAAGGTACAGAAAAAGCAAGAACAAGATGATGCCTTATCAGATACCTGGGAACCCCTGATATAGAAACCCTGAGAAGATACCAAATAAAGTACATCCTCCTGTTGTGTGTCGTTCCCCCCCGCCTTTACATCCCTTTGTGCAGTTCCAGAGTGTCTGAGTCTATCAACCTAGTGAAGGTGCTAAAGGAACATCTTTCCTGCTCTCAGTCCTCAGTAGCCTTGAAAGATTCTAAACTGCCAAAAGCCCAATGGAGGTGTCTTGCTTTGGATGCTGCCATTCCTTAATGGAAGCCAAGGGAATCACAGCTTCTCAGTTACCTCTCAGATCTTGGGGGGAGACAGTAACAAGCAAAAAGCATGGCCTGTTTTCCTCGGCAACCCTTCTTTGCATGAGGGAGGGACTCTTCAAGGTCTTTTGTTCCAAAGGATCAATAGATTTTTCTCTTCCTTTACCAATCAGCTGTTCCAGTGAGCTCTCTACGGGCTGGATTCTCAGTGTCAAAATGAATGGCCACTGTAGGTAGGGTATTCTAAGGGTATGCTCACACTACCTGATGGACTGTATTAGACCCCCATAGAGTCAGTGGGAAGAGATGTTTCCACTCCTAAATAATCAAGCTCCTAATTGCTGCCAAACTTTGCTGCCAAAACCCTGCACTTTTGCCATTAATTCTTATAATTCTCAATGTATGGAATTAATTTTTCCATGTATAATTGCTAAAGAGCCCACAGACTGAAATTAAGAGACACTTAAAGAATTCCTTTCTGAAACCTACTTCATTGTTCTCTGTTACTTGTTACTGAGCCTGCTGGAGACTCTAAAACCTTCCATAATCTCGGTGTGATCAGCAGCTGGGTATTGCATTTACTGAGCAGCACTGTAAGATTGCAGAGGGTGTTGCACACCAAAAGAGGGCCTCTGCCACGCACGGTTACAGCGGTTGACCAAGGGGAATGGTTTTGGTTGCTCGTCAGCTGGGTCTTACAGCTGCATGAGATGCAGAGTGTGAATAGCTGGGACATCTGCAGCCCAAATACAGGGACATGCTGGCAGCAGGAACCTGCACTGTGGCTTTTGTTATCAGCACCTACACCGTGTGTTCACTCAGCTCTACAGCAGCTGCAGATAAGCAGAGCTGCTGGGAAGTCAGATTTGATCAGGTCTTACATGTGGCTGGAGGTGAGCCCGGGCCCCTGGTGCTGTTTGCTGGCACTGGGGTGCCACTGGTGAGCTCTTCACCAGTACTGTTAGATCTTCCTTTTGGCCCCTGTTCCCCTCAGTCACTGATGATGGGCCTCTGCAGGGCTTGATCTCCCACCCAGTCTGAAGCTCCATCACACCAGCGTGGGACTGGCCATCTTCCTGCTACATCACCCCTTCCTCCCTGCTGCCTTCATAGAATCACAGAATCCCAGACTGGTTTGGGTTGGAAAAGATCTGAAGATCATCCAGTTCCAACCCCCTGCCATGGACCCGGACACCTCACACCAGACCAGGTTGCTCCAAGCCCCTGTGTCCAACCTGGCCTTGAGCACTGCCAGGGATGGGGCAGCCACAGCTTCTCTGGGCACCCTGTGCCAGCGCCTCAGCACCCTCACAGGGCAGAGCTTCTGCCTTAGATCTAACCTGAACTTCCCCTGTTTCAGTTTGAACCCATCACCCCTTGTCCTATCACTACAGTCCCTGATGAAGAGTCCCTCTCCAGCATCCTTGTCCTTCAGATTGCCTCCATCTAGTGTGTGTCTCAGCACTGAGGTATGGACAATGCCAGCAGCATTGCTACAAGTCAGAGTTTTTTCAGCTTTCCTCCATCCCTTGCCCAGCATCTCTTTGGGAACGTGCGCTGCTCTTTGCCAGGAGCTACAGCACATGTAAGAATCGTTACCTGCAGGTGAACCTCCTGATTTTACCAAGTAATTGAAGCTATTGTTCAGCAATAAAAGGAATCATACAGTGGGTTGATGTAGCTCAGAACTGTACCTGCTATGGTTTTATTTCATAGATGAGTAGGAGTCCTGTTTAGTGTTGTGGCACTCACTCCCTCTGTAAAGATATTCCTAGAGTGATATGGTGAGGCAGAAGCATATTTCCATGTTGAGCATAAACCTTCAGAGATCGGGTGCATCACTTGCCTGGGGTCATTCTATACGGTGCAAGGAGATCAGAAATTAGCTGCAGAAAGTCTATGGAGTCTTCATCCCAATATTATCTCACTATTAAGAGTGTCAGCTGTTACTATGCTCATTTATACCTCCTCTTCTCCTACTTATACACAGCCCTCTTTCTCCAGACTTCACCCATCTAAAACCTGTGGCCCCAGACTTTTCCCAAAGCTATTGTAATGCCCTCTACTCAAGCTTGCAGGTGGATAAATCTGTGCCAGCTACAGTAGCTTGAGGACTGGGCAGACAGTTTGGTTTCTTTTGCTGGAGTGTGGTATGGCGAGGGTTTAAATCTGAGCTTGCATGTTTATGCCACCTCTGTTCTATGAGCAGAGCTGATGCCCTTTTACTGATGGAGAAGAACACGGTGCTACAGGGCTTGCATTGTTTTTCAGACACTGATTTTATTAATTTCCCTTCATTAACATGAAAACAGAAAGAAACATAATTCCAACAAGGCAAGAATTTAAGCTGCAGCAGTAGAAACACCACAGTTACTGCAGGGTTTGTATCACACTGAACTCATTTCTGCCTTAATATTAAAAAAGGTGCTTCCACTTTTGTGCAGTAGAACAGTACAAAAGGAAGGAAAAATATTATTTCCAAGCAACAAAGTTTACTGTGGGGATAGTTTTTGGTCTTTTGGTTTGTGGCTATTGACATCACAAGACAGTAGCCAGATTATAATAGCTGATAGGATAAAAACTAACAACTAACAGATGCACTGGTTGATGGTACAAGGCTTGAGGGAGAAGAGTATTTGCACCACCTGGATTAAGGCATCTGATATCCAAGTGAAGAGGCTTCTCTAGGTTCCTCCTGCAGTTGGACAGGTAATCTTCCCATTTAAATCATATGTCTGCTTCTGACTTGGGCATCTCTCTTTCTCTGCTGAACGCTGAGGGACCTTGAAGATACTTGCTTCAGATGAGGCATCTGAACCATGTGCCTCATGTTAAGTAGTGTGGAATCCCCTCTTGTGTCCTTACGTTGTCTGAAGGTTAGTTGAACTTCCAGATTCCCATAAGCAAGGCCTTACCTGTAAGAGTGGTGCCCATTGATGTAAATGAGGGAAAAAGCAGGAGGACAGCTCACTTGTATAAAGAGTGTTCACCTGCACTTCCTTCCAGTCTGAAGCAAATTCTCCCTCTTCTTCTTTGCTAACATCATGTCCCCAGAACACCACTTTCTTTTACAGCAATGGCGTAAATGTATGGCCATAGGACACCAATTGACTAACGGTCTCGAGTCATCAATCAGCATGCAGTAGGCCATGAGCACTCTTCTCCAGGTATGACTCCTCTGCAGTTGGTTGCTTTTGCAGTTCCAAGGCTACTGTCTGCCTAGAAGTGTATCCCAAACATCACACTTAGGAGCTGTGAAGAGCATGTTTTTCTCACATAGGAGCCTAACCTGACCCACTTACTACATCTGCCATGTAAAGTCTTCCTCTACACACACGATTTACCTGTCCAGGAATAGGGAGGCCTCCACTCAGTGCTGTGCTCACAGTCTCCAGAACCCTTCAGAGAGTCCTGGTACTTCTTTAATACAGAATGTTGCATAGCAAAAACCAAGGTGATTTTCATTGTGGCCTTGCAGGTCTCTGCTCAGGGGGCTTTATTGGTTAAGTGCTGCTTTCATTGGAGAAAAACTGCATCCACTAAGCCCACTTTGGAAAACGTTAGCAACTGAGATATGACAGGCATAACATTAAAGAACTACAATAAAAATCCTATAACTTAGCCTATAGTCCAAAGGATTATGTTGAAAAATGACTACACTATTAGCTAACAGCTAAACCCTTGGGTTAAATGGCCCTGTGAGATAAAGTTGTTTCAACTCTCCCACCAGAGGAGAGATAATCACATTGAACTATCTCATATTCATCCTCAAATTCCTTTTCATGGAAACATCTTTTATTCATGTAGGGGAAATAAGGGGCTGGACATGAAGAAAGCTAAAAGCCTCCCTCTATTAAATGCCTGTGACCATGTTGCAGAAAGAATACAGCCACTTCCAAATGTTACTCCATTAATGCTGAATGCTAAACAGGTACATCTATCCTCAAAGCTTCATCCCAGTGTTCATCTTATGGTGTTCACACACCAGTAAATGGTTCTCGTGAAATGACATATTACTCCTTAGTCTCTTCAATACTGTATTGCCCTCAGGTCAATCTCACTAGCATTGGTTCATTGGATAGAATTTGGGTGAAGAAACAGAATTATACTGGTTTAGGTCCCACCCAAATCTTGATGCTGTGGAGAACTCCATGATT